ACTTGAAGTTGTAATTATGATTCTGCTGCGTTATTAATAAAAGAAGTGGTTTTGTTTTAAAAAGCTGATGCAAGTTGTTATATGATCCTCCGAAATTAAAGTGTTATGTATTTGTTTATATGTTGTAACATGTTGAAATGTGATATCCCACATGTGTTGGAAGCTTTTAAATACTCTGATTTTCGTTATAACTATCGGGTAGAATTTGGGGGTGTTACACCATCATTTCTTGCTGACCTTTGGCTAGGTTGAGCAGAGTCTCTTGGAACTGCACGTGTTGAGTTTTTAGATCTTTGACGGTTTGCTCTAGAGCCATCTTATACTGAAATAAACAGTAAAAAGATAAGGAAACCTATATCGGAAAACCTGCTATGATATGATGCATGCTATGTGGATGCAATGTTTTTAAGGACCTTAAGGAATTTAAATTTGATATCCAAAAAGGAAACAAAAACAACAATTGTATTAATGAGTTAAAAGATTAAAATTTCCCCTTGGGCTTACTGATAAAAGCAAAAAGGTCTCAAAGAGACAACAAAATAGACTCCTAAAAAAAAGACTTAAGTCTCCCACGGGTGCTTCCTTTTTGGTGTAATGTATGCATTCAGGCTTCGCTCCTCGTGAAGTTGCCTTATGAGTTCCAACACTTTCTTCTCGCTTATGTAGAATCGAGCTTCAAAGGTGTCTCATTCCCCCTTGAGTTGAATCCACGATCTCTATAATTGCTTGAAGTCGGTAGGCATGTCAGGATGGAGAATGGTATAAGGAGTATCCCCCTCAGTAACAGGCTCCACAGCTATTGGTAGGATAGATGGATATGGCATCATGAGATTTTAAGCGCGAGCTCGCACCAATTTGAGATAAGGCTCCAAAAGAATAGAGTTCTTATGTCCCAAAGTCTTGCTATCAACCTTGTTCACCATGCCCCAAGCTCGTACAAACCTTTGACGATAACCTTGGACATTGTTCTCATAGTCGAATATAATACCATGGATAAGCGCATTGTGAGGACCATCTCTTCGAGCATAGCTAAATTATCATAGAACCAGAGAAGAGTTATAAGTAATACCTCCCCTAATGCCCAAGAGTGGAACATTAGGAAACTCCTCACAACGGTCAATGATAGTAACATCCTCCATAGACCGGGAACACTAAAAGATATTAGAATGAGAGAGTGACATCATCCTTTGAGACCAATTCATACCTTGTTCATTCTTCAATACTGATCGGGGAAGGTGCGAAATAAACCACCTAGACAGCAACGATATGCACCACATGAGAGCTCCTCTCTTCCTCATGGTGCGAGTGTGAAGACAATGTAGAATGTCTCCAAGTAAAGTAGGCACAGGGTTACGAGAAAGGAAGATCTTGACAACAATCACATCTATGAGTTGGTCTGGATTAAGGAACAATACTAACCCATAGATTAGAAGAGCTAAGACTTCTTCAAAGGATTGAAAATCTATATCCTCCCATAATAGACGAGCCTTCTCTAACAGAAACTTAGCTAGAAAACCCTTGACTCCGCTCCTTGTTTCTCAATTGGCTACAATGTCAGACCTTTTCAAATGTAGGGTTGATGCAATCTCCTTAGGTTGTGGATCTTTCTCTAAACCGGTGAAGGGAACTTGATCAAGAATAGGTACTCCTAATAGTTGAGATAACTCTTCCATTGTGGGCACCAATTGATAATCGGGAAAGGTGAAACAATGATGTTTAGGATCAAAGAATTGAAAGAGCACACACATCATTTCTTCTTTAAAGTTTGATGTAACCATATTGAGAAGTCGACCATGTCTTTTGGTGAACGGATAATTCTCAGGAACTCTTGATGCTAACTCTTGGATTTGAGGAGGCACTTTTATAAAGCTGATTCGGATGGTATTTCTACGAGTGGAAACCATATCCTACAAAATAGGACAAAGATAAATCCTTAGGCCCTTGAAATGGTTAGTGAAAATGATATGGCATGATGTCATGATGTTTATGATGTTATGAAAAAATAATCATATACACACAAAGCACACAAGGCCTTAGGTTTAGGCTTACATGAGGTTTATAGGTAAGTATCCTCTTGAAGTTTCAGTCGGTTCAACCTGTCCTAAAAGAAGTAGCCGAGTTCCAAGGAGTCTCAATATCACTGCTCTTTCTTTATCAGGCATTATTTCAGCACAAGCAATCTTTTTTCACGGCCGAAATATCCCGAAATTCCAATCTCAATGAGCGTAGTATCGAGTATCAACCAAATTCAGTCTTGCACCAAGGCCGACTATCTCACTACTTTCTAATGGCCAAGTTGTTCAACTAAAGTTCTATGGTTAGTTAGTGCTTCATGACACCACTCAGCGGCCCCGTATTCTCCTTGATTTAACTCAAGGGACACCGGTACCCACAAATGTGTCGCACTAACATAGCTATCACTTCAACCATATCGGTCTATGCCGTACAGTTTCTACGATATATTGCTACTTACCTAATATGCCCCCAGATCTGGGTATAGGATCTATACAAGAAATAAACCCAAGCATAACCCCAAAATGTAAAGCAAACAAGTAAAGTAATAAAGTTGATCTAGCTCTTAAGGTAACCCCACTTTTAGTTTATATATCTCCCCAGCAGAGTCGTCAGTTCTGTGATACGATGGGAGAACTGACTTTGGTGTTTTGCGTTTTATCGCAAATGTTGTGAATAGTAAGAGTTGTCACCGACTTTTCTTTTATCCAATAAATGAAATGGTGAAAATAACAGGAAAGACCTTATGAGAATTTTCTTGAGTTATGAAAAGGGAAGGTATTAGCACCCTTTTCATCTGTAGTTATCTACGGGCTCTTAATTGCTTGATCACTTTGAAATGCTTTGTGTTTGTGTAAATTTGAAAATATTTTGAAAATGCCTAATTTTGGAAAACTTTGAAATGATTCTCGCATCGTTGAGAATGTATACAAAGCGTTAGCTTTGCAAATATTTGTTGAAAGGAAGTGTTTGGAAAGATGTTTAAAAATGCTAATGTAAGGCCATTTTGTAATGATTCTCATATCATTGAGAATCTATACAAAATGTTTGTTTGAAAAGTGTTTTGAAAGTGTGAGGTGTAAATGGTTTTGTTTGTGAGCAAGCAATTACGAGCAATCTACCTACTCAAAAAGTCTTTGTTCTTTTCATCCTCCTTTAGATAGTGTTACTTTACTATTGGTTAATAGAGAGCCTTATCATTGGATGTGAGGGACAAGCGTGGGTCATCGTACAATCATAGAAGGCAACTTGTAAGATGTTTTAGCAATCGTCGTAAGGGACTATGATCATTTATCGAAGGCAACATTGAAGGGTCATCGAGGGACTATGCTCTTTTAATTGAGGATCTTTTTCTAAAACATCTCACGTTCGAGGGACATGATTGTTTTATGCAAGACAATAAGTGAGGTTAACCCTAGAGGTGCATATGTGCAAAGTGTGTTTGATTTCAAGTATTTATTTTTGAATTAGGATTGTCTAATATTTTTATTTTTAAGTCTTGTCATGCAAACCCTAATTACTAGCAATAATAAGGAAAGCAATAAATTGCGGAATTTAAATGTCCTACGTTATTACAACGCTTTGGGAATGGGGGTACAATTTTGTGACTGGGGGGATGAAAGCAATAAAGCCCTAACTACTATTACAAACCATTGAATATGAATTCTAACAATAATTATGCACAAAATGTAAAGACGAAGAAGAAATTGCTTTTAGGGTTTTTGATGAAAAGGTTTAGAGGTTAACCTAATTGAACTAATTAATTCTAATTATAGAGAAGTTAATTAACAAAACCTAAAATCTAAGTTTAATTGAAATTAAGAAGAAAATAAACCTAGGTCTAAATAATTTTTTTAGGAAAATAATTTGAATGTTAGTATTAATTAAGAAAATATCCTACAATGTAAAAGAAAATAATAGAATTTAATTTAATAAAAATAAAATACTTAAATTGAATTATTTAATGATTTATTTTTTTGTATTTTTAGTTTTAATAAAATAAAATAAAATAATGTATATATATATATATATATATATATATATATATATATATATATATATATATATATATATATATATATATATATATATATATATATATATGGGCCGGTGTTAAAAGGTAAAAGGGGGTTAGAAATAAGCAAAGAGAAAAAGCCCAATATGTTTTTGTAATCATAAAAATAAATAAAATAAAAAAGTGTGAATGGACTTGCGCTTTAAACAGTAAAATAGGGGGTGAGAATCATAAATAATTTAGGCCCAAAACAACAGGTCCAACGCCTTGCTTCGTTCGAGTTTTAAACACGATTATGGATGAGATAAAGTTTTCAAACTCATTATGGAAGAAATTATATTTTTCGAGTTTCTTGTATAGGATAGATGAATTTTGGAATTGTTTGATGGAGAAGATGAATTTTTGATAGAGAAGATGGGGATTTGGTTTAGGATTTGTTTGATTTTAAAAGGAGAAATGAAAATAGCGTTATGTTTTAAAAACTCTCTCTACTATGGAAATATTAATGTGCTTGACTTTTACTCTCACTTGAATGGTTAAACTAAAGTAATAGATAATAATTTAGCTATTGATTGTCACCTCAATCGAGGTAATAGAGCACCATAATTTTAATTTAAAAAAAATCAAAAGGATTTTCTATTGATCAAATGACTCAACCGAGAGAATACATATCCATTTTATTTGTCGGTTGTCATCTCAACCGATATAATAAGCTCTTATTTTTAAATTTAAAAAAAAATATTGAAAGGCGTCAAGTGAAATACTTTTTTTCTTTCGATTGTCTTGTCAATCGGAAAATAAGTTGTTTTTTTTAAAATAAAATTAAAAATTGTATTTGATGGAAATCAAATGCCTATTTGATAGAACTTGTGTATTTTGGAAATATGTATTCAAACTAAACATGCAAGTTTAATTTCAGTAACTTGCTGCTTAATTAATTGACAATAATTACAACCAAGTCTAAGCTATTTGATCACTGATGCAACACTACTCCAGTGAGTGAAGAAACAGCTGTATCTAATGCTGCCTTAACAGAAGGATCCTTTATTATAGCTGCAATCACACCATCCATGAAGGGAACGTTTTTTTCTGAAGGTATCATGGCATTTGAAAGCTTAGAAGACAAACACAATTCCTCTTGAGATTGATGAGTACTGTAGTACTGGTTTGGAGAAATGGGCGTTTGGGATTTGAAGAAGTTTGTAGAGGGTTGGGTTAAGTCCAATGTTACAGTGGGACATGATGATGCATATGAATAGAAAGTAGACAAGCCTGTGGAGGTAGAAGAAATACTAGAAGATGATGATGATGTTGATGGAGAGAAGAGACATGGATTTGAGAGAGTGTTGCCATGTAAACTGGTGGTTGAACCAGATAGAAACATGCTTAATGCTGCTGATGTTGTGTTTGCTGTCAACCTGGCTTCTGGTGGAAGTGAGTGATTATGATTTCCTTCATAGGTTGCGATGAAAACTGTCCCATCAACCGAACATCTTTGAACCTGTTACAAAGTAAATGTATATATTGTAGACATCAATATGTATTTTATACAGCATCATAAAAGTTAGGAGTGGACAATTGGTGGGTTTGGATCAAAGTCTGAGTCAAATATTTAAATCTGACATAAACTGCGATTTTATTATTAAAGTTTGATTGTGACTGATAAAATTTTAATTTTTAGCAGATTCAATTTAATCAATTTAACATATAAATCGGATAAGTTTGATCGGTTAATATTATTGAAATAAATCTATAAAAATTATTTATCTTTTATAAAATTCATAAATTCATTCTTTAATTTTTTTATAAAAACTATTAGAATTTTAGAATAACTTGAGTAACTATTTTTTTATTATTGAAAAAACGTTATTAACGTGTTATAAAATTTTAAATATCATTTAATATTAATTTGTTCATTATCATACTTTAAATAATAAATTAAATAACACTCAAAATTTTATATTGTATTTCTTATATTCTTACGAGTATAGAATGTCAAGCATCCTCTAAAAGACTCAACAATAATATATTATGTGATAAAGTTTACCTTCAATACAAGAAAAACTGTGTCCAGCAACGTAATGTTATGACGTAATTATCATGTGACGAAAAAAAGAAGTTGTGACGTATTTATCATATCATTACATGATTTTAATATTTAACAATAAGCACTCACATTTGCACATGGGGAGTCAGAAATTTTTTTAAAATAAAAAGTTGCGATGTGAAAATCACGCCGCAACATAAAAATTAAAATAAAAAAATTAAAGAGACAGAGTGGTATAAGGAGGGAAGTTTGAATTTTTCAAATTTTGAGTTGTGACGTGAAAATCACGTCGCAACATTCATTTCAATGGTAAAAAACTTTAAGTGAAAAAGTTGACTGAAACGGAAGTGATGGAGAACAGGTTGACTGATACATTTAAGTTGTGACGTGAAAATTACGTCACAACTTTATGACCATTGTTAAATTGCGATGTGATTTTCATGTCATTAATTTGTGACGTGAAAATCACGTCACTAAAGTGCGTATAAATTTAAAAAAAAATCATTGAGTTACATAACTCTTTCTTCTTTATCTCTTCAATTAATTTCTTCTCCCCTTCTTCACTCCACCAAAACCTCATCTTCATCTCTTCTACCATCCTAATTTATTCATTTCACCCACTCATTTAACTCAAAGATATAATACTCCTTTCATCTCACTTCTTAGTTGTTAATTTTTTTTTTAATTTTCGTTTTTAATTTAATTCTAACTTTTTATTTTTTTATTTTTAATTTTAGGTTTGTAGGCAAATTTTGTTCCAAATTTTAAGATTTCATAAGTATTGTTAAAGTTTTATTATTTGTAATTTAATTTGTTTTTCTTTTCAGATTTTATATAAATAATTGTTGGATTGTTTTTGTTGATTTTCATTCTTGTTATTGTTGTTTTCATATTGGTATATAATAAAAACAGATTTTATATTTAATTTTTAATATATATATATATATATATATATATATATATATATATATATATATATATATATATATATATATATATATATATATATATATATATATATATATATATATATATATATATATATATATATATATATATATATATATATATATATATATTTTAGTATAAAATGATTATATAATATTTTAATTAAAAATATGTTTTTATAAAAAATAAAATTTAATAGTGACATGAAAATCACGTCGCAACACACTGACAATAGTTCTGTCATCTGGGCTAAATTTTGCGGCGTAAATTTCAAGTCACTAAATTGTGAAGTGAAAATCAGGTCACTAATTAGTTGCCACGTACTCTCCTGCAGCGTGATAATTCACATCGCTAATAACACATTGTGACGTGATTTTTCACGTTGTGACGTGAAAATCACGTCGAAAATGAGCTTATTTTTTGTAGTGCTTGTCCATTAAATAAGTGAAGTATATTTATCAGGTATTTTCTCGATTTTATTAAACACCGGTGAAATATAGATTTTTCAGAGATCTTGTTTTGAATCTTAGTTACTGTATTTTTTTATTTATTTTTCAATTGACTTAAAAATCAAGCGTTATATTTTTTAATCCCTTTTTCTTTTTTCTTTTTTATTTATTTTGAATTATAAAATTAATATTTATTGAATGAAAAAGAAATAATGATAATATATAAAAATTATATTAAGTGTTTATAATAAAAAATATTTATTTCGTTATATTATTTACTTAAATCTCTCATTATTTTAAATGGTCTTATTTTTCTATTAATTTTTGTATTTTTAAATTAATTTTTTTTTAATTATTTTGTCCAACCAAAAGGATAAATCATTTTAAAATTTTTAAAATATGACGCTTTTTATTCTTTTAAATTTAATTTAATCTATTATATCGATTGTCTTTTACACTCGAAGTAAAAGTTCTTTTGTATCAATATTTCACAAAACTAAATTTTAAGTTTTCATTTATCTTTCAACATTCTTCATTTCATCTTTATTCTATTAATAAAATTTAGACGTTTTTCATCTTCACCAAAACACCCTAAACTCATATTCAATCATTTCTTTCAACGTCTAACTGTTCACGCACCGTCCAAATCAATTTGACGATCTCTATCACGACGCACCACATTTCACGTGAAGCGATTATAATCTTCTTTGTTATATATATAAAGAGAAGAATACGCTATTTTATAAGTCAACTAAATTTATCTCTACTATTTACTATTTCTTATTCTCTCACAAACTTATACGTTGGAGTATTAACTTTACATACGCATATTAAAAAAAGGTCAACAAAACTAAAAAGCTCCGTGAAAAATAGTTCGACCTAAACCCCTATTAAATTAAGAAAATGAATGTTCTACAACCCACTCAAAGAAAGTGTAAGAGGACCTTTAAAAGTCCCTAAGAACCATTTCTACTACACTACATCATATCCTTTCTATAAGATACACTTTAATCGATAAAAGTTTATGTATTTCTTTCGTATATTAACCAAATATTTTAATTTTTTTTACCTAAGTCTTTCTTGTAAAAAGGATTGGATAGAGAGAATGATAAGTTAACTATATTCACTAATTTCTCAACACACTCAATCTTTTTAGAGAAGATAACACCATTATCATTATGACATTTCTAAATACCCTAGACCACCACATGATAGATTCAAGCAAGGCCTTTCATTTGACAAGGAGAACCTTCAAAAGACATGAAGACTGAAAATAGACACAAAAAAAAAAAAACATGGTGGAATTGCCAACTACAAAACTTGATAGAGTGAAGTCATAGGTTATAAAGAAAGAGCAGTAACCAAAAATACAAGTTTTCACACAGCTTCATACTAAATAGATGTCGATATAAAATGGAATTACCTGCTTACGAACTGGACATGGTGTTGTTTCTCCCATATTGCAACGATAGTAGGCCCTAGGACATGGATTAACCTTTGAAATCTTTTGTCCATACTTTCTCCATCTACACCCATCACTCATCTGACAATCAAATTACTATATTATACTCCTAATCCACAATCATTCCCATCACATGTAGTTGATGATAGTTCTCTATACATTTCATCTCTATATACAAATAAATATGCATAAAATGATATATTGATTGACCATGTGAATCAAATGAAAGATACATTACATACCAATGAGAAATTTGACGGTGCCCTAATGGACACTCTACCTTTTTTTCTGCAAGAACCTAATTCAGATGATTGATCCTCCTCTATAATTTGTTTATTGATTTTATTTGGTGATGGAAACAGTTCTTGCTGCTGTTTCTGTTGCTGCGTCAGTGTTATGAATTGAGTGTGAAGAAGTGCATAGTGTTGAGTTACTTGATTTAACATAGATCTCAAGATCTGATTCTCCTTCTTCATCTCCTCTACCTTCGTTTCCATCCACCCTAACTGAATTAAATCCACTCACAAAATACGTAGGTTAGGTTAGCTATGTATGGACTGACCAAACCCAACCAACCAAAGATTGTTTGCACCTAACCGGATTCGGACCTGAGATCCCGAGAGGAGCACACTCTCAAATCTCAAGTCTTCACCAATAGGCCAACCTCTAGTTCATATAACTAAAATATCATTATGAAAGATTACTGACTTTGAGTAAGGGGATAGGCTGTTCTTGATTCTGGTGAACCTCTTCTGAGTTGTTGTTGTTATTATTATTCAGACTCAAACTCAGATCACTGCATCCAAGTCCTACCTGCACAATTATTCAAAACCAATATAAAATCTATGCAAGATATATTATAGATCCATCTCATAAATTTGTGTCTTAGGTGTAATTTAAAACCAAAAAAGAAAAGATCAAAATTATGAAGTAAATATATAGGTAGATAGACACAAAAGGTGAAGGGTTAGTTAGCTATATACTAATTAGATGAATGGAATGAACTCACAGTATATTTATCAAAGAGCAGTTCTTCAGCTTTTAGCAATTTCTTCAATCCAACTTTGGCTTCCATTTTTGTAGCTAGCAACAGCATATGAATGATGAGAACAATATAAAGAGTGCAAAGCAAGACTTTATTACTTTAGTCTTACAAAATATATATATTACAGTTGAACAACAGTGGTCTCACTAGAGTAGATAGACTACAGCACTATTGTAACATTTTCATTAAAAAATATTTTAACTTTATAGAGAAATATCTATGAACATACACATTTTTTTCTTAATTCTAATTACAATATTGAGAGGGATGAAATTCTATTAATTGGTATTTATATATTATGATATCTCTTATTTGTGTTGTAGGTGGAGCCATGCATCAATTGTCTTGTGATATAACTATAAAAAGGAATTCATTCATCTTTTAAGTCAACCATAGAAGCTGCTACCGTCCATCTGCTCTGTGGACAAACAAAATCTAAAGGTAGACTTCATGCATTTCCTTTCATCAAGTGGAAAGGACAATTAAGGGAAGAAATAAAAGCCGTTTTTTTATCTTGTTTGATAAAAAAGTTATTAAGGGATTAGATAAAATATATGATAAAAGATGGACAAAAATAAATTATTATTCCTCACTAAACTATGAGACAATTTATTGTCTCATACACATATTATAAATAAAAAAAAATCATTTTTTTTTTATTCTCTCTTACTATTTAATATTTTGATTTATAAATATAATTTTGATATTTTTTATATCAGTAAAAAATATTATAGTCAAAATTATATTATTTTTTCCTAATGCACCAACATATCAATCAAGTAGAGTAAAAAATCTCTCTCACTCTCTTCATCTTTTTTCTCCTTCTTCTTATTAAATATTTTGATTTATAAATATTAATATTTTATCTATTAATAAAAAATAGTATAATAAAAGTTATATTATTTTATCTGATGCATAACATATAAAAAAAGTACAGCAAAAAATATTATCTTTTCATTTTTTTCCTTCATCTTATTATTTAATATTTTGAATCATAAATATTACTATTTTATATATTAATAAATAATAATATTAGTAAAAATTATATTATTTTGTTTGGTACATAAGTATATAAAATAAAATAAAGAAAAAAAATATTCAGTACATCAACCATCAAACACAGTATCGTACAAACAATTGCCTCGTACAAACTATGTGATGGTAATAAGAATTTTGGCTCTGATGATTTCAATTTCTCCTTTATTATGAGGTTTTGGCCCCTCCGTATGGGATTATGTTTGATTAGTTTTATCGGTTTGTTTCTCTTTTCCATGGTTTTTTCTCTTTCTTTGTTACTTTGATTTCAAAGGTTGATTCTCCTTCTCAGTTGGGGGAATTTCGTTCTATTTCCTTGTTAAGGTCTCTTTGTAAGCTCTGTGCTAAAATCTTGGTGGATAGAATTTTTAGTGTTATGGATAAACATATTTCTCCTAACTAGTCAGCCTTCCTTAAAGGTAGGCTTCTAGATAAAGAAGTGGTTGTTGTGAATGAGTTATTGGACCTAGCTAAGAAGAGTAAAAATATTGTCTAATTTTTAAACTGGATTTTGAGAAAACTTATGATTTGGTGATATGATCCTCTTTGGATTATATACTATCTAGATTTGGGTTTAATGATAAATGAATTGGTTGGACTCGTGCTTATGTCTTTTCTAGTAATCTTGCGGTCTTGGTTGATGGTTGCTCAACTCAAGAAATTATTATCAAAGGGGAATGAAGCAAGGTGATCTCCATGTCCTTTTATTTTTTCTCTTGGTAACAAAAGGTCTCAGTGGGCTATTTTTCAAAGTTATGCAGATGAAACAATTATTCTAAAAGTTGCTTCCATTAAGAATCACTAGTCTATCAGGGCTATTCTCCGACGATTTGAGTTAGCCCCATGCCTTCAGGTGAATTTATGTAAGAGTTCTCTCATTGGGGTGAATTATGACACTACTTTCTTAGATCTACCTTGTGACTTTCTCCATTGTAAATAAGAGTCTCTCCCGTTTAATTACATTTATCTTCTGCTGGGGGAAACCCTCGATTATCTTTTACGTGAGAACCTCTATTTTATCTCATCATTATACGGTCCCTCTCGTGGAGACATAGTTATGTTCCCCTAGAAAGAATAGTGATCTTTTTAAATCATATTCTTAATGTCATTCATATAAGTATTTTTTTGTCTTTTTTAAAGATGTATGTTAATGTTTGGAAGAAGATTATGAAAATTCAAAGGAAGTTTCTTTTGGATGAAGTAAAAGCGGGTTCTAAGATTGTGTTGTTAGGTAGTCATAGTCATGATCTTTATGTGTTTAACCCGACCCTTTTGGATAAGTGGAGGTGGCAGTTGATTTTGGGTGCTTAAGGTATCTGGTGCGATATTATACCTGCTAGATAAGGAGTTACTCCAATATTTTCTATCAATGGTGGTATATTTGGTTGTCTTTGATCTATGTCTCTAATAGGTTCCAAAGTTGAGGATACCTCAAATTCGTGTCGGGATAAACTCCTTAATAAATTTAGATTTGGTCTTCTCACTTTTTATGTAATGATCCTTGGATTGGAAATACTCCTCTTAAAGTTAGGTTTTCTATGCTTTTTCTATCTCTGAGCAGACAGATCGGTGTGTGGGGAATGTTGGTAGGTGAGAGGGTGAGACTTTGGTATAAGATCTTAAGTGGAGAAGAAATCATGTTTCTTAGCATGAGTAGGTTTTGATTTCTGGACTTCTCTTGCTGATTAGGGCTTTTATCCATTCCTCTCAAAATGATAAGTGGTGGTAGTTTCATTCTAAAGACGACTCTTATTTTGTGGTCTATGTATACTTGTGCCTTGCCACTCGAGAGTATCCTAGATATCATGAGGTCTCGTTGGTGGAATTGATTCTCCCTAGTATCTGGAGTAGGTGGGCTCCCTCTAAAGTAATTGTTTTCTCCTGACAACTCATTTAGGATCAGATTCCTATTAGAAAGAACTTACTCAAAAGGGGGATCTCTCTGGCCTCGAGGGGGTATCTCGTGCCCCTTCTATTTGGGAACTCTTGATTCGTCCTCTCGTTCTGTTGTGACCCGTGAGGTAGTAGTATATAATCTTCAATTGGTTGGATTTGTGTATAGTATTACCTAGAGACCTCATGACTTTCTTTCAGATGTTTTTTCCACTTGGTGGCTTATCTAGGAATAAATGGGTGTCTTATAATTTGGAATGCAGTGATTTGATAAATTTGGAAATCTCATATGATATAGTGTTCTAAGGTAAATTTGTGACAAAGAAGGACGTGGAAGATCCGAGGATCCTCTTGCCTTGGAAATGATATCTTGATAGATTTGGGGTAACTCTTATTCTTTTTTGCCTTGACTCGAGAATCCTATCATGCATGTGAGACAATAGCGGCTTGAGTGTCTTCTTCCTCCTTTTGGTTTGTTCATGTTGTTCCGTCAAAGATTGGTGGTGTTTTTTCGTTGGTCCATGACTGAGGAGCTATAACTTTATACCACTTTGGCACTTTCTATTTGTTTTGTTGTTTGGTTTTTCTCTCCTCATATGTGTTGGTGGATGGAGGCTTTGTTTTGATTTTTGATGGGTTCTAGGTACCTCTTGTGTCTTTTATCGTCTCTCTTAATTTAGACCTTTTGTGCCTCTTATATATATATATATATATATATATATATATATATATATATATATATATATATATATATATATATATATATATATATATATATATATATATATATATATATATATATATATATATATATATATATATATATATATATATATATATATATATATATATATATATATATATATATATATATATATATATATATATATATATATATATATATATATATATATATATATATATATATATATATATATATATATATATATATATATATATATATATATATTCTTTTTTGCTTTTAATTTTTTTACATCTTGAACTTCTATATGATCTAATAGTGAAGCATCAACACTCAAATTTTCTTCAATTCTTCTTCTTCTTCTTCTTCTTCTCCTATACATCTTCATTAACACCTTGGCAATCTTCATAGTAAAAAAATATAAAAATTCAAACATAAATTTTTTTAAGTTTGAAAAATACATAAATAAATCATATTAAAAAACTAGAAATAAATTAAAATAAAGTAACGATTATGTTGTAGCGAACTAATAGACATTAAGATTGAAGAGGGTGTTTCTTTTAGTAATTGAATTTTGAGGTTTTTTTATTATTATTATGTAGGAATGTATTCATATTTATTATAATTATTGTTGAATTACACCTTAAAACATTTGTTGATGAAGAGAAAAAAATGTGTTGAGATTGTTCAAAATCAGGAAGCCGAAGAGCATCAAGAATGTCTGGTTTGGGCGATTTGCGGATATCGGGTTTGATCCGTTCAATTTGTGAGTCTTTTCATTGATGTTAGAATATTGAATATATTTTATATTAATTTAAAAATAGTCAAAATTAATTTAAAAGATATTATAATATATTTATAATATATTATTCTAAAGATTAATTGGTTTTGTTTTATACTTTCTTATGGATCTGTTGGATTTTAGAAATTATAAATATGTATCTTTTCTATTATTACAGTGAGATGATTTTAGAGTTTTAGAGCTAAAAAGTAGAAATAAGGGTTTGGATTTTCCAAGGGTAAACTAAGAAAGACACATATTTTTGAGAAACCTTTGGATTTATCAAGGGGATTGAGAAATACGCCTTGAGTTTGAGTGATCCATATATTGAGAGTTGGAGTGGTTGAAAAATACTTGGGTAAAAAATAAAGATTTGTTCTTGGGAGCCTTCAGAGTTTGTTCTTGGGGACTCTAAAGACGAATGATATTTTCTTGTAACACATATGTAATCTATTGTAACAACTTTCTGAGTATAGTGAATTGAAGAGATGCTCTCTCTCCCTCAGACGTATATTTTTTGTGATCGAACTAGGTAAACAAAATTTTCACCTTTTCTCGTCTTATTTTCTTCTGTTATATTTTCTGCTTATTGATTATTATTGTTGAAGGTCATTTATTTTGGTTTCTAATGTTCTTTAT